ATAGCAGTGAGCCAACAGCAGAGTGCCTATAGCAGTGAGCCTACAGTAGTGAGCCTACAGCAGAGTGCCTATAGCAGAGTGCCTATAGCAGTGAGCCAACAGCAGAGTGCCTATAGCAGTGAGCCTACAGCAGAGTGCCTATAGCAGAGTGCCTATAGCAGTGAGCCAACAGCAGAGTGCCTATAGCAGTGAGCCAACAGCAGTGAGCCTACAGCAGTGAGCCTACAGCAGTGAGCCTATAGCAGTGAGCCTACAGCAGAGTGCCTATAGCAGTGAGCCTACAGCAGTGAGCCTACAGCAGAGTGCCTACAGCAGTGAGCCTACAGCAGAGTGCCTTCAGCAGTGAGCCTACAGCAGCGAGCCTACAGCAGAGTGCCTACAGCAGTGAGCCTACAGCAGTGAGCCTACAGCAGTGAGCCTACAGCAGAGTGCCTACAGCAGTGAGCCTACAGCAGTGACCCTACAGCAGTGAGCCCACAGCAGAGTGCCTACAGCAGTGAGCCTATAGCAGTGAGCCTACAGCAGTGAGCCTACAGCAGAGTGCCTACAGCAGTGAGCCCACAGCAGAGTGTATTAGCTCATATGTTCACCTCTTCATCTGTCCCCTTTCTGATGTTTCCCAGGGCCCATTTATTCATCTGTCAACCATGGTGGGTGCATTCTTGGACCGGCTTTGCGTCTCATTTCATGGAAAGAGAGAGGTGATGTCATTCTGCTGAAGGACACGCTAGCCAGCGGCGCCACAATAGATTTTGGGCCCCATGAAACCGTATTATATTGAGTCCCCTGAGCAGATCGATCCAATTGTGTTGCCCATTTTTAGGGTCTCTGCAATGGTCCTAACTTCCCCCTTTCACTCCTGGCCAAAGCAGTAATAAAATTGCCGCCTTACATTGTCAGTAGCATAATTCCGGTCTCCCTCACTTCCTTCGTAGTTCAGAGCACAGAACAAGATGCTTATTGCCTCAGCTGCAGTGGCAATTGCCAGCTGTTTCGGGGCTCCAGTCAGTGGTAGGTACCGCTGAAAGGTTCTGGTCCAGTGTACCTATCTATCCTGTTATGGCTAATACCCTGCTCTACCTACCAGGGGTGCTTTTCAGCGTGGAAGTGATGAGCGTCCATTTCACCGTGCATGACTACTGCCGTTGCTTCCTGTCCGCTGCCTCTGGGGCACTGACCTTCCGCCTCCTGCCCGTCTGGAGCAGGGAGCAAGGTGACTGACCAGCGGCGTCATAGTGCCCCCTAGTGGACAGAGCTCACACTTATCATTTTTGTTTTTTTTTAAATCAACACTTTTCTGTGAATTTCCCTGAAAGCCTACGGAGACAGATGCCTGATTATAATGTACATTTACTGGAGCTGTTTGTCTATAATTACATAATGTCATCTCATTCGTAATGGGTGACAATAAGAAAACATGAGAAGTGTTTTACTGTGTTCTGTTTTTAGAGACCGTACAGGCTCTTTTTAAGACCAGCTTTTCTACTGACCTGCCTTATTGCCCCCCGGAGATCCTCGTTTTCGCCCTCCTGGGGTGAGCTTTTTGCCTTCGCATCCTACCTCACACGGTGAAGCTGTCTTCTGAAATCTCATGTGAAAAGTCTCGTAAAAAGGATCCGTTTCTCTGATTACATTACGCTCAAGTTTTCTGAACAATATTATTTTTCTTAAAATGTGTTTTGGGTCTAAACTTATTGCTGAAATTCCTTTCTTCCGACTCTCTGCACCGTTTCAGTTTGAATGAATCTGCAGTTACTCTCTGTATTCCATTCTGTCTGTTTGTCTGTAAATCGGCTTGTTGTCTCCTCTGTGTTCAGGTTACCGTGTGTCACAGTCCGCTGCCTCTGTCTCCTATCAGGTTGCTCTGTGGAGTCTGGACCTGTGTTTTCCTGCACTTTCATCGCTGGAGCCTCCTTTTCATTCGGACCAACCAAGTCATAAGCAAGATACTAGCCACAGAGTGAGTGTTCTCCAAGGTCACATGTATAACATTATATAGTGCAGTGATATTTAGCGCATCGCTCTCTCTTTTACTCTCTAGAAAGGCCGTCTACTCAGCAATGGTTGCCTTCCTGCTGGCCCTAGTTACATTCCCTCATGGTTTAGGCCGTTTCATGGCTTCCACGGTAGGCCTGACTTGTGCCAGAAACACCTTCTGCGCCTCCTAAACACTATTTGTTTACAGAGAATGAGGTCCAACAAAACTTGCTGCCGGCTCCTATGAGCAGAGCGGACTTTACCATTTGGTTATTGGCGACAGGTTCCTTTGCCTCTGTCGATTAAAATGTGCTTAAATGTCAGGCAAGAAATACAGAGCTCACAGAAATACAGAGCTCACAGAAATACAGAGCTCACAGAAAATCTTGGGACACTTGCTTAATTCAGTAAAAATATTACAAATTTATTGGTTTTATAACAAAACCCAGTTATATTGCTTACTTTATTGATTTCCTTAAAAAAACTATATATCATATTACAAACACCCAGTAAAACATTATTTGAAATCCCATAATTGAAACCCAAATTATAGTTGCTGTTCCGAATTGCAAAGTTCATTGACAAGCTGTCTCACTTAATATTAAACATCACTTGTCAATGGACTATTGTTATGAAACCAATAAATTTGTAACATTTTTACAGAATTGAGCACTTCCAAGACTTTCTGTGAGCACCGTATTTGAAGTATATTCCTTTTATATAATAGTGTAGAAATCTGGCAAAAATACAAAAAAAACAATGTCCAGTTTGTGCTCATTTTTGTGTTTTTATCTTCATTACTAACTTTGAACATGCAGTCTGCTGCTAAGTGGTGACTCCAGTGAACCAATGACACTGCAGTGAACCAGTGAGACTCCAGTGAACCAATGACACTGCAGTGAACCAATGAGACTGCAGTGAACCAATGACACTGCAGTGATGCTTCCTCTGGTGTCTCCTTCTTAGCTCTCTATGAAGCAGCTTCTTGCGTCCTTCCTACACAGTCAGCAGTGGAAGCCCGTATTGCAAAATGTGTCCGTGCCGTTGCCACCGGGGGCGCCAGAGAGCATGTGGCTGGAGTGGAGTCCCGCTGGGACCTCTGTTTTGTTCACTCTGGTGGTCTTCCTTGGTATGAAGGTGGGTGATAGGCTGTGATGGTAAGAAAAAGGTAGGAGCACCAGCAAGGTACAACACGAGCCACTGCAATGGTTACCAAGCAACCATCAAGTATCAGCTGGTGCTATTTAAAGTCGATTAGGCCGGACAGTCATCTGCTTTCAGCAAACCGTATGAAAAAAAGTTAGTGATTTGCATGTCATAACATACAGAGTCCGTGTCTTCTCCAGATCAATCTGGGGGGTGTTTGCCCTCTCTGGGGACCTTCTGAGTCCTCTAAGGGATGAGGTGGTCATATTACTGCCTGATGTAAATGACTGCAGGGGGGTTATTGTGTAATTACTCTTGTTTCCAGCTCTGGATGCTGGTCCTGGCCATGACGCTACCTCTCCCCTTAGGCTTCTTCATGCCCATTTTCCTATACGGTGAGAATTGCAGGCTAATTTATTTTTTTAGCCAATTTATTTTATCTTTACTTATTCTCTTTGTCTGAATTTACGTTCTATATTGCCTTAGAATGCATGCGCCAATACTGCTAAAACAAACTCCCAGTACATGCACATGTACCTGGCCAATAAAGTGCATTCTGATTCTGATTCTGATTCTGATGCAATGCAGTGCTGTGGTGTGTTTATTCCTTCAGAACTTTCCTTCTGCTCATTATTGGTTTCTTTCATGAAGCGGAATTCCGGCAGGCGTAATAAATGCTGCTGTAATATCCCCAGGCGCTGCTATTGGACGGCTGGTGGGAGAGGGGCTGGCCTGGATGTTTCCAAACGGAATAGAGTCTGGGGAGATCGTCAGGCCCATAAATCCAGGGGGCTACGCACTGGCCGGTAAACAAGCAGCTCTGCCACCAAAGGCACGCTCACAGTGAGGTGCTCGGTGTCTGTGATTGGCTACAAAGCCAGGAAGTAAAAAAACCACATAACCAAAGCATGCCAGAAGGTTTCTCCCTTTATTTATACCACATACTGATCGCTTGCTGTTTCCTAACTTGGGTTTTGTTACCTTTTCCTACCTGTGGATTGAGTCCGCATCATTGTAGGTGTAGTAGAGCAAAGAGCTATATTTGGGGCACAGTGCAGGTGCTTATGTAGGTTTTAATACAGCCAAGATTAAGAGGTTCCTGTGTATAAAAGGAATTGATTTTCTGTTGAGTAACAAAAGGGTCAAAGAGCTTATTCTCAGGTGAAATTAATGCCAGTTGCATTGATAAGATTCTCTTCTGCTTTTTATCCTTTGAACCCAGCTTTTATCAATTCTGGTTTTCTGTAATTTGCAACAAATTTGTTATTAATGGTGATACTAGTTCCCCTGAATTTCGGAATTACCAGCTGGACTTTATTTTAGTTTTAAGCCACACTCAACAAAGGAGACCATTTAGTTATGAGATTACCTCAGTCTGCCAAGCACTAGTTGTATGACTGTATGGGATTTAGCCGTGTGATCGTAATGCACCCCATCCCACAGGTGCTGCAGCCTTCTCGGGTGCCATGACACACACACTGTCTCCTGCTCTCCTGGTGTTAGAGCTGACAGGCCAGTCCACACACGCCGCGCCCACGCTGCTGGCTGTGCTGCTGGCCAACGCCGTGGCACGCTCCAGCCACCGGCCCTCGCTTTATGACAACGTCTCCCTCATGAAGAAGCTGCCGCACCTGCCCTCGTTACTGCGTACCCAACCAGAGTGAGGGTCTCATCTCCAGGCTGTGCTGCTCCCTTAAACTCCTTCCTATCCTGTATCCTTAACTCAGCCTGGACTCTCTCTCTCTCTCTCTCCCCCTCTCTCTCTTCAGGCTGTCCTTTGTCCAGCTTTGGCAGGTTTGGTATTCTGGTGAAGAGGCACATGATGGAAGGGGAGGAGCTGCAGAGATGGTGCTTGAGAGGGACAGTGGAGCCACAGAGGTGCGCCGGACCCTGTCCTCCAGCTCCGAGGCAGAGTTCCCTGTAGTGGAATCATACGGTGAGCCGTACTTAACAACATGACATTGATGATGTCCCTTTAACATTAGTAATGTTTCTGTTTCTAATTACTAAGTGTGACAGTAGTTCTTCAGCAACACTTTACTTGATGGGGTGCAAAAACTTAGTGTAACTGAGTTACTACTAAAGTACAAATCGTGAACAAATCAGGAATAAATATAGTCACTAGCTGAGATAAAATATGCAAATGAATAACCAAACATGAGATCAGTATTTCACTTGTTATTCATTACTTGTTCCTTCAGTAGTTCCTCAGTTGTTCCTTCAGTATTTCACAAAGATTTACAGAATTTACAGGCATAATAACAAGTATAGTAACTGTTTGAGATAAAAGATGCATCATGATTCATTAATGATGAACAAATATGGGATCAGTCTTTAACATGTTATTCTTGACTTGGTCCTTCAGTGGTTCACAAAAGTTTACATAATTAACAGATATTATAACAAACACAGTGACTGCTCGAGATAAAACATGCATCATGATTCATTAATTATGAATTAACATGAGATCAATATGTAACACTTAGATTGTGGTCAATACATAAGTGGTTCTGTCAAGTAAAGTGTTACCAGCTTTTTTTTTTTTACCTGTGATTGACACCCATATCCTGAGTGTTCCCCTGCCCTGTGATTGACTGGCATGTTCTCCTGAGTGTTCCCCTGCCCTGTGATTGACTGGCATGTTCTCCTTAGTGTTTCCCTGGCCTGTGCCTTATGCTGCCTGTGATCAGCTTAAGGCTTCCTGTGACCCTGTGCTGGATTTGTGATGGATCTGACTACCACAAATGACAACATTTGTTTAACTATTAATATTATTAAGTCACAGAACACACCATGTAGGGAAATCATTTTCTTTTAGATAAGAAGTCTACAGTACTTGCTAAAGACCTTTGATAACAGTACTATCCCCACATCAGCATCTTAATTCTGCCCTGATCGCTGCATAGTATCTCCACCTTTGTGCCAGAAGCAAGAGGCCAATACAGTAGCTCAAGATTGTCAGTTTTGTTTATCTTAATTGTAATTCTGAAAATTTCTCCATTGGCCTCCAGAGTCTGGAGTTCTATTGGGTTCTGTACATAGATCTGAACTGGAGAAGTTCCTGTACAGCCAGACCGACGGGCCCAGTGGACTGGTACTGATCAGATGCAATGTGTTGAAAAATAGAGCTTCTATTTGTTTTAGGGTAGAAAATATGGGTTTTATGAAATCACCTTGCCTGTCTTGCAGGAACTGGACATCTTGGGACAATGTTTGGGAAATGTGTGTTCAATTCAGCCAGTCACTGTACATCTCTCTACCCAGACAACAGTCCAACAGGTGTTTCCTGTTTTTTCATATGAAATATCATATTTCAGATAATTTATTTGTTATTCTAAAGTTCATATTATCTCCTTCAGGCTCATAGTGTAATGAGTGTACTGAACATACAACTGGGCTTTGTGACAGACAATGGCAAACTCTCTGGAGTCATTACCTGGACAGAGGTGAGAGCAGCTTTATACCACTGTAATGTTGCTGTCTGACAATATGACCTGGCGGCTAATCTGGTATCACTGTCCACTCAAATCCCATCACCCACCTCCCTCTGTGTGTGGCATCACATGTTCTCCGCATGATGTGTGGCATTTGCATGTTCTCCCCATGGTGTGTGATGTTTGCATGTTCTCCACATGATGTGTGGTGTTTGAATGTTCTCCTCATGGTCTGTGGTGTTTGCATGTTCTCCCCATGGTCTGTTGTTTGCATGTTCTCCCCATGGTCTGTGGTGTTTGCATGTTCTCCCCATGGTGTGTTGAGTTTGCATGTTCTCCCCATGGTGTGTTGAGTTTGCATGTTCTCCCCATGGTGTGTTGAGTTTGCATGTTCTCCCCATGGTGTGTTGAGTTTGCATGTTCTCCCCATGGTGTGTGGTGTGTGAATGTTCTCCTCATGGTCTGTGGTGTTTGCATGTTTTCCCCATGGTGTGTTGAGTTTGCATGTTCTCCCCATGGTCTGTGCCTGCACTGGTTTCTTCCCACAGACCAATGACACTAAACTGGACAGACACAAAGAAATGCAGCAGACTTGACAGGGAAATGTCTTTTACAGACTTCCAGTATAAAGCAGAATAGGAAACTTTCTTCAGAGGGTGAAAAAAAAATGTGTCTCGTTGTGCAATATGATTTTGTTACATAAAACAATCTATGGTGATGAATAGATACAGATTAACACATACTATTGTGATTGATTATGGGTGTTTTTTCAGCTGAAGAAAATGATTGAGCGTTTGGCTAAAGGAGAAATCAAACAAAACAATGGCTAGTGTGACAGACCAGTAAATCCAGTGAGAAGGACTGAGCAAGACCAGCCGTGTGAATTTCCATAGCAGACCGATGCCTGAAGACCCCACCTGAGCTAAAGACTGGGACATTACAAATGACTAGATGAGCGAAACATCAATGCACCCCCCCCCCCAGCATCTCACACCCTTATGTTTAATAGCTCAGGGCTGTGCAGGACAAGAGCTTGTGCTCTAGTGGTTAAAGCTTTGCATAGTTTATCCATAGAACTATGGTTTTATTTAGCTTTTTCATTCCTTTCACCTTCCTTAAGGGGAACAGCCTATTGCAGCAGAATCGGTGGCCAGGTTGTATTGCTTTCCCTAGTGTCTCCATGTGCCCTTCCGAATTCTCTTCACCAGTCTCTCTTCACCAGTCTCTCTTCACCTGTCTTTCTTCACCAGTCTCTCTTCACCAGTCTCTCTTCACCAGTCTCTCTTCCCTCCATTGTTTGTCTCTCACTGTCTCCTCTTGTCTCTCCACTATTTTACAATTTTATGCAAAAATCTTAAATACCATTTGTGTTTATATCTCCCACACAATGAGACAAACTACTTGTAATTAAGCATTAATAGAAAAGATTAATATGGAACTAAAACGTCTTTTTCCTATGTCTATTCTGATCTCTCCTTCCTGCTTTTAAATGTCCCCATCGCTGAGTTGTGGATGAAGGCTGATAGACTGGCATTGTTAAGGCATTAGTAAAGATCAGACATATAATTCTGCACACTAGATTCCAAGCTTGAGTGGAATTTCCAGGAAGTCATGCCTTGTTATAGCAGCAGTGACAGACTGACAAACACCACAACCAAATGCCAATAGCCACTTTGAGCTCTCAGGAAAAAACACTCTAATGATCAGTTCACCTCTCTGGTTGTTGCACTGAGAAAATAGCCAGTTGCTAAAATAAGGACATGTCAATAAAATACTAGATGATGCCTTTTGCTGCAAGTGACACGTAATAATAAATACATCCAATAAACAAACTGGGCCATTTATTGACTGGTGGAATTTTTATGCGCGAAGTGATGCATGGTTTGACACCTTATTTTAACAGCTTCTCAGTTTAACAGTTTCTCAGCTTGTGTGTATGTGTTTGGTAGGAAGTGCAGAGTTATCTGTGCTTGCATTGGTAGGTGGTTGCAGATCTGTCCATGTAACATTTCATATAGAGCAGCAGTAATTATTATGTACCTAAATACATAAAGATGTCTATATATTCATGACTCAGAATAATATACATTCAACAAATAGACTGAAATGGTAACGCAATTATGTGAGCAAAAGTATACATTACATCTTCTTAAGTGGAACCATTTACACAAAATGAGTAAATGAGTTGAAATAGAATACAGTTCCATTTCCTTCCCCCAGGAAAACATTGTCTGGTTGAAAATAAACAATCACCTCATTCCATTACGGGAGGATGCCTACATTTCTGTGATACTTTTAATCTGATAATCTGAAAATAATAATTTTTGGCATGTCTTGCGCAAATGTCAAATTGTCAGCATAACCGTTCTTTCATTCATTATGGTGATAAGAATTTATTTTATTGGTGTGACTTGTTCTGAGTCTTTAAAGTTCAGAAAACAGCATAATTGTCATGTTATTTCCACTCCGAAAAGGCTGTTGCTTGAAATGCTCATCAAAAGAAAAGGTCAAAATATGCAGCCGGACACACTGCGAGTTAAATAAATGTGCCCCATATTAGATGGGCAATATAACTGCTTCTCTGATGGAAGGCAGGCATTGGTCAATAGTTGGCGCACTTTCGTGCCTGCTGCCTCGCTTTCATTCAAGTGTTGTTCGTTAAAAAAAATCACTAACCATTAAGAGCAGCAGCCAAGCACAAATATTGACTCTGGAAAGGAAATTAGCAGCGTACCTGGTTAAAAAATGAGAGGGACTGAATGATCAGGCAAATGCACTGTTGGTTTTTGGTGGTTATTGCAGTTCTCTTTTGTCAAATGCAGCTTCCCACAAGACCAGAACTAAAGGTCAGTACGATACATATTGATTTAACAGGATAAAAACATGAACAACTCAATCCTGTTCTCATTAGTTTCATTGCTTCAGGGCCGCTGTTAATGTATGGGCTGTGTTATCTAATAAAATTAAAGCAACCTCGAGTTTGTGAAAAGCACATTATTATTATATCCTTAATGGTTATCCATTGAAAAGATTTTTCTCAATAATTATTTTAATGGCGTAATTTGTGTTAAACATATACACTGGTAATGTTTTTAAGCAAATGCAACCTTTACATCCTATTATGGGCAGTAATTTATGAAATATTTGAACCTGTTCATTCTGGTTCACATCTTGGAGGAAAGAACATTTTTTGATTAAGATTCTTCAGACATAAATGACAACCACGTTGTGAACAAAATAATAAACCAATACCTCTGATTATCTGTACAGAGTCTCTTTTGTATTGATTTCTTTGTCAGCACAATGGTACAGAGACAGCCCCTTATGAAAAGGCTTATTCATTCTTCACATAGTTTTACAGATGAGAATCCACAGGGCTGGCAGTAGAGAAGCCAGGAACGCGGCTGGGTCACGGTGCCAGGTGGCAGGGCGTTAAATAGCAGTGGCAATGCCAATCTGTACACAGTTTCTCATTTTGCATCTCGCATATCGAGATTCTCAGTTCAAAGTCTAGTTATAAAAAACTTCATCCTCAGACATGGAGCTACTGTCAGCGTAACGGATGGAGCCGTCGGGCCGGGAGGCCTTTCGGGTGCGTGCCGCCAGCTCCAAGTCCGGCTGCCAGTGTCCGCCGGGCAGCTGTGGGGGGAAGAGGGGGCCGCCCTCACTGTAGCGGGGCAGGGGGGCAGCGAGGCCACTGCCGTCGAGCACATACTGTGAGGGGACGACGGTGTCCGCATCTGGAAAACAAGCGACACCGGATGACGGCATTACTGGCTGATATTCTGAATGTGCGGAATCCGGTAAATTAGAAGGCTGTAAAAAGAACAGGGTTTAAATAATAAAGAGCCACGGCCAACCACGACTTAAAAGCTCAGTCCAGCACATGCATCACTAGGCAATAATCATTAATAATAATGTCATTAGAATCCTCATAGGGTAGCATGGTGGTTAGCAGTGTCACCTCTGGGACCCGGGTTCGAGTCTCCACCATGGCCCATATGTATGGAGTTTGCATGTTCTCCCTGCGTTGCTGTGAGGTTTCTTCTGGGTGCTCTGGTTTCCTGCCCATAGTCCAAAAACATGCTGAGGCTGATGGGTATTACCAAATTGCCCATGTGTGAGTGACTGGTGTGTGAGTGACTGGTGTGTAAGTGTGCCCTGTGATGGGCTGGTGCCCCATACTGGGTTGTTCCCTGCCTTGAACATGTAGCTGCAGGGACTGGCTCTTGACACCACCTCCCAGAAGCCTGAATAGGGTAAGTGGTTTCAGAAGATGGGCATCTGCACAGCTATAAAGAGAGAACTATCATATTATTACATGATCTGGAGTTCTAGCAGCTGAAATACACCCATTCATTCTTCACTTCCTAATGGCCCCAGTGGGTAATCATCAGAGGTTTGTGCTACTGCTATGAAGATATATGAGCAGACAAACAGACACCCAGACTCAATAATTAAATTATTACTTCCCCAGACTGATGGTTAATAAGCTATGAATGGAAGCTGTGAAGAATTGGGTGGGATAGAGCTTAACCGGCCAGGCTCTTGGCGTCTCCAGCTGTTTCTCTCAAAATAATACTAGTCTGACCTGGTTTCTTTTAGTATCTGTCTGATTGGCTAAAATATACTGGCCTCTTTCCCTTGAGTATGCCTTTTGTCCTCTTTGTACACCTGACTACCTTTTTATGGACAGTTCACAGCACAGGTAGCTATTGCTGGGTTATCTAAAATTTTTAATAACCTGTAATTTACCACTGTCGTAAGAGCGGCATCTAGCTAGGAGAGAGTCTGATCATGCGGTCCGACACAGCTGACATACAGTAGTTGTGTTTCTGGAGGGTAGGTAGAAGGCAAGGTCTAGTGATCGAGATGAAGGGCCTGATGTCTCTCTGGGGTCAGTACCTCGCAGGAGTCCAGAGCAGCCATTTGATCCATTTGGGGCATCCGGAGAGGACCACGCAGACAGGGCTGCCTCTGCAAGCGCAAACTGTTGTGCCACTCCTATGAGAAGGACAGGTGGGTCATTTAGGTGGGTTTCCAGAGCATTTAACCCAGAACTCTGCCTCTACTGCTGGAAGCTACAGTCTACAGTCAAACACACTGACCTGCAGCAAAGCGTGCCTCCTTCACCTCATCTGATAAGTCAGAGTAGAGCTGCTCGTCCTCCTGCAATCCTGCCAGAGACCCTCCCCATCCACCCCCGGCCCTGTCCCAACCTGCCCCCCGCTGGGCACTCCCACCCCCGCCCAAGGCCTTCCACTCGATGAGGTGGGCGACACGGCCCTGAGCCATAGCAGTGGGCTTGGTGATATGCTCCTTTATGGTGGCCACCAAACCTGGGGAGTGAATAACCAAGACAGAAAGGCTGGGTGTGCGAGGGACAGAGGGAGAGCAGGCAGGCCGCACAGAGCCAGCAAACAGGAACACAGCAGAATGCATTAAATGTCTGCTTCGGCTCCTGTGATTCTACCAAGAACCGTACATCAGACAAGCAACACAAATCATTCAGCATATTAAATTACTTTTCATGATCATTATTATTTTTTCTGTCAACTTCTACAATTATGGCTACTTTGTTGTATGAATACGTAAGTCTATTCTTTTATTTGTTTGTTTATTAAATCATCAGTTGAACGCATCTTTATGTTTGTGGGCTATATAACCTTATGGTAATTTTTAATTCTGTACTTTGAATTGTATTTTAAAAACAGATAGTGCCAATGTCTGCCAATAAATTATTCTGTAATGCATTTTTCCCATTAAGAATTCTCATAAGATTTAGCTTTATAATTAAACTGAGCATTATGGTGGAACAGATTAACAAAGCCATAACAGTTATTGGGTTTCACTTATGTAAGACAAGATGACAGAGGAATAACACAAGAGCATGGGATTGTGGGAAGTGGAAAGGAAAGCTGACAAAATGATAGTGGGGGGGAAGGGGATTATGACCAAGATGCTGGAAGGAGGACCAGATATGAAGACATGGACCCAAGCAGCAGGAGGGAATGTGTGAAATGAGCATCAGCACAGCTAAGAAGAGGTCAGCGGCCCCAGTCTCATGGTGCCATCAATAGATAGTCAGGAAAAACAACTTGAAGAGCTCAGCAAACATCTCAGCATCTCCCTCATACCCAGCAGGGAGGAGGTGGCCAGTTCCCCGATGTTGTAGGTGCCCCCCTGGCTCTTCTCGTCTGGCAGAATCCCATTGGCCGGCTCCGGAGCTCCCTAGATACATGGGCACAGATAGACACAACAGAGGGGGCTTTGAGACACAGGTTATTCTACATTGAAGTTATTGCCATTAACCTAAATATTCAATTCAATTGACACGTGCTCAGAACCTTTAAGTGTAAGAAACAGCACAGAAATTATGTCAAGCTATATTAATAAAAAATGCTAAATAAACTAATGATTGTCAATTGAAAAAAGTCAAATCAACTGATGAATATCTAATCTAAATTGAAAAAAGAGATGACATAAGATAGTTTGCAGCAGAATAATAACGTTTTACTGGAGTGAGGCAGCGAATCCATTCATATGCTAAGAATCAAGCAGTCTCATAATTCATTAGCTACGAATGTGAAAGGACAAATTTATAGCTGAAGAAGTACTGTACATAAGAGATTAAAGCAGACTAGAACCTCAAATTGCAGGCTGTGCAGCCAAAGAAAGGTACATTCACTGCTGTCATCTGGGGCTTACAGTTCATGTTCTGTCAAATATATAATGCTGTTCAATGAGAGGTACTTGTCTGTGATTTGCTCAAGTCCTTAGAACGTTCCCCTCACAGCCTTCCACTAAACAAACCTTGAACACAGGCTTCCCATCAGCACACTGT